TGCATAGCTGCAGTTAAGCAAAAGTCCATGGCAACGGTATCTAAGGGAGTCTAGAGAAGACAGAATATCCTTTTGTGCTGATGCCTCAAACAGACTGTTTTGCGGCAGGTCTTTATTATTTTGCTCTGTTGTAAATGCATGGGAGGAAAATCAAATAGTGCGACTAATAAGCTGAATTCAAAACGGGTGCAGAGGGAATGTGGCCCTGCAGTCACTCAGAGACTTAGTTAAACACAGATACATGTGTTTATGCCTGTCTTCAGTTTGCACACGGTAAACATGCCTCTAAAGGGTTCATTTTGCATTAGCGTGTAAAAGCTGAGTTTGTCATTGGAACATGTTCATCAGTAAATGTAAGATGGTATTGCTCTGTGGATTGTAGACTGAATATCTGATCACAAAATATATTATTGAGCCTTACATAAATAATTCTTCTACTCTTTGTATATTGAAGTTAAGCCATGGACTTTTGCTTAACTGCAAGTTTAATCCCATCATTAAAAGGATTTAACATTCAACAAAAAAATAGAATTTATTGCATACATGCGATTGAGTGTTTCATGCCATTAATCTAACCGGGTTTTCAAAAGATGAACTCACTTGATCATCTTTCTTGTCCTTGATTGAGACTCTGTAGTCTACAACTAGTTAATCCAAACTTAAGCAACATCTCAGAAAGTCAGTTGTTTAGTGTGGATTAATTTAAGTAGAATTAGCCTAGACCTGGTTTATTTTAACCGGCCCATAATCTTCAAATTTTAAATATACATGGTCAGACATGTGGCTTTAGCTGCAGTGCATTTCTAGAGTGATTCAATCTTCAAATTTATTTTCATGAAGATGTTTCATATATATTTCAAATAACTTTACAAAACTTTGAAGCCAGTAATAATTAATGTTTTTTCATTAAGACTAATTAATTTATTTACATTTACAATAAACTGCCAGGTGTCAGCTTTCAAATGAGATCATACTTGTGTTCATGATCTGTTTCAGTTTGGGTATGCCATTTCTTTGGATTTTTCAGAAGTGGGGTTGCAGCTTAACAGGTTAAAGAATTACTGATCCGTTTAGTGTCATAAAACATGAAAATACACTGAGTTTGTGTTACCTTATTTCAGACATAATTTTTTTTTAAAACCTGAACCAAAAGTGTTACAGAGTCAGATTTTGAATCAGGATATTGTTTTTGCTAAATTGAAACAATTAGCCTTTTTATTGCATGTTCAGTCAAGCCCATATGACATGACAATTGAATCATTTTTATCATAATAATAATGATGGAAATGTTAGCATTTTTTGTACTAAAATTAATTTATTTAACGTGAAATAAACAAACATTCATCAGAATATCTCCTACTACACTTCTGTATTTTATTTGTGAATAAAACAAAGTGCTCATAAAGATTTTAGGCTCAAACGTGTGAGAAAAGGACCGTCCAATCTGCAAACGTGCTGCTGTTGTTGTTTTTGAAGGACATTAAAAAGGATTGGGTTTTTTTTTTCAATGAAAATTTCAGAAGCTCATGGAAAAATAGTTTAACACAAGCTGTTTGTAATTCTCCTCCGGTGCTGTTATTGAGGTTGTTGTTTGTTAAAGACACAAAGCACAGTTTTATCTCTTTCTAACAAGCTTTGGACAAATTAGAATGTGATTCTCATTCATCAAGTATTGAAACTCATTCTGATGGTATAAACAAGAAGAATTGCGAATCACAGGAAAATAAATTGCTTTTTGAGGGTCCCATTCAGGTAGCTAAATCTTTCAAACATGTCTCATCAACTACAAAGTGATCCAGAGATGAGACGAGCACCTTTTAAATCAGTTTGGGGAAAAAAATGCTGGCTGCTCTTTAGCTCCAAACAAAAGATTTCGGGATGGCTTTTGAGGAAAGGAAAAGACTAGAATGTTGTCTTTAAAGATTGGAAGCAAATGCTTCAAAGCATGATTTTAAAAACAGACAATCTGCAAACTGAAATCTCTGTTTTTCAACCCTTTCAAATCTATAGTTCAGTCAGCACAAACTCATTTTGCCTTTCCCAACTCAAGGCATGCTTCGACCCATACAACATGTCAAGACTTAATGGGTGATGTCAAGGTCATGGACACTAACAACACTGCAAGGACATGAAGTTTTAATGTTTTTCTTTTTTTTTTTGTTGCACATATTGACTTCTTAATCACAAAGATGCTTCACTAACAACAGTTAGAGAGGCATCTGAAATGTGTTTACATGATATGTAAGGCTGTCAAGATATTTACGGGCTGATGAACTGAGAAATTAAATTTTCCTTGAGCTTATAAGAATATTCTGTAAGTTTCAGAACTGAAAGCGTCCTTGTTAGTCCAATTAAAGCTTTTGACACCAGCCTCAGTAAACGACTTTTTTAATGACGTTCCAGCTGATGAGGGTAAAACATTGTCCGTCTGTTCGCTTCATTTCACTGAGGATTGTTTTGTAGAGACTGGATTTGCACAGCGATTAAGAGTAAAGAACGGTGCTGTGTCGTCTATATTGGATCTGACAGGAATGCTGCAACACGGACTCTGGGTCCAACATGTACGGGCCAATCAATCCGGTCGCCAATTTACAACATTGGACGTTTTCAAAACAATTTCCCCCACGTGCACCGACGGGTGAGTCGAAACTCATTATAATATACAAAACTGTTCTCCACTCACAGCAGTGGGCGTTTACTTCCAAGTCTTCAGTGCGAGACGCCCATAAAAACCAGTGTTATTCAGCTAAGCTCTAAACTGGGGTAGAAAATAGACTATTAATGATTCATTTTGATGTTTTTGAATGCAAACGTCATACGTTGACCAGTTGTCCAGTTTTTTTTTTTTTTTTTTCAGGGACTACCCACAATTTGGCACAGAAAGGCAAGGGAACGTTTTTATATGGTGGGATTTTAACTGTATTAGACAGTCATGTTGATAGGTTACTAGCAGAAAGAGGACCACAGTCAAAAAGCCCTTTTAGGAATAATGAGAGAATTAGGTCCACAGATATTTGGAGACACTTGCATCCTAAAGAGAAGGATTTTACCTTCATGTCACATGTGCATGCAGGCCTAGTTATTCTAGAACAGACTTCTTTTGTACATCTGGGGCAGATTTACATAATGTCAAATAATGTCATATAGATCCCATAACTATATCTGATCATGCTCCAGTTAGGCTAATACTTCAGTTAGGACAAGAAAAACAATTTAAACAAAATTCGAAACAATCCAACACCTGTCTCCATGGTGACCCCTAGTGGTCAGAACAGTGTAAATGCAAAAAAAAAAAAAAAAAAAAAAAAAAAAAAAAAAAAACCCAGGGCCAAACATGCATAAAAAAAACCTTTTACAGATATATTGCAAATGTTTTATTGAAAGTAAAATCTTTCAAATGTAATTATCTAATCATCTAACTAGATTATCAAGTGCATTTGTTCATTTCATTTTTTTGTATTAGTTTTTAGGTTTGTTTGTTGTGTTAATTCTATGAATGGCTCAGCTAAACAGGCCAATAAGCCAATTAATTATCATTATTCATTTTAATTATTTTAATTTAACTCATCAGAGATCAGGTAAGACCCACAGACACTTATTCAATGGTTCTCAGTGAATCCTCATGATTGATAGATCATTGCCCCCAAACAGTTATGACGTAATGAATCCTCATTTACTGAAATCACATGACTTTGGCGTCTAATACACACTCTTACCATTGAATTGAAACAAACGATTTGTAAAGGCTTCTGTGTTTTGAAATTGCCATCACTAGTTTGACGTCAATTTAATTTGTATATTTATCTTTTCACATTGTTTTGGGTTTTGGGAGGTAGGCAAGAAATTGTATTTTATTTTTGGAATTGTTTTAGTTTTTTTTAATTTGGCCTTGTTTACCCCTGACGCTAAACCCTTTTGGAAATAAACACAGTTGTTGTTGGTATATCTCTCTGGTGAGTGAAACTCATTCCTTCTTCTGTTACGGCTAATCCTCCCTAGCGGTTTAATATACTTCTATTATCTTTTACAGCACATTAATGAGCATTAGAGAAACAAATCACTATAAAATTATGACATGAGTGTAAGATGCAAATGTCAGCAGCCAAATGAACACAGTCTTAAGAACTGTCAGAATGTCTGCAAGTGCTTGTGCAAAGATTCCCCCAGTGGATCAAGCTGTTATTCAAATACCATTACAGGTGCAGTGTGGGATTTTTAGCGCCATCTAGCGGTTTGGTTGTGAGTTACCACCAGGTTTGAACTACGGGCTCCACCCACTGCTCACCCCTCCCTTTCGAAGAAGCTACGGTGGCTAAAACGGGACAAACATCTCGTCGGCTGAGACAGCAGAGAATAGCCAGAGTAAGCCAAGAGTGAGTATAATGGACCGTGGTTCAGAAACAATCATGGATAAAGTTTACAAAGCCATAGTCAGGTGAGAATCAAGGGTTTTAATATATAATTTAATATAATAATAGTAATCAGCGCTCATTCCCCATTGACTACAATAGTAGGAAAAAATACATACAATGGTAGTCAAAGGGGAATGGGATCTGTTTGATTAAAACATTCTTCCAAATATCTTCCTTTGTGTTCAGCAGAACAAATAAACACATGGAGGTTTGGAACAACATGAGGGCGAGTAAATACTGACAGAATTTTCATTTTTGGGTGAACGAACCCTTTAAACTAGGGGGCAGAGGAGCACTGAGATGCATTAAACATGTTGGGGGATTTGAATAACACTTTCTACACTAGAGGGAGACACACTCCACGATATACCGGATCCTCCGGCACCAAACAGTCTTCAAAAAGGAGCTCTCAATTAAGCTTTAAAATGGATCAAACTTTCCTATACTAAATTCAAGCACAGATTTTTAGTTGTGTATTAAGTACTCCATGTCCATATGAATACAGACTTGTCCATTTTTCATACTGTAAAAATACCTGAAAGACAACTTACCATTTTTCCTAAAGTTTCAATGATAGCCAAAGCAAACTAGTTTCAGTATTTCTTTTATTAAGTACAAATCAAGACAAGATAACGGTCAAAGATGTCAACACGTATTGCTATTTTTGCATTTCACATGTAAAGCCCTCCAATACACATCCTCTGACTTGTACAAAGAACAGTCATTTGCTTACAGCAAGAAAACCAAGCTCCCGAACCTTGTGAAAAAGCTCCAGAAAAGCAGACAGTAACAGGCATGTTAAGGATTTAAGTCCCGATCAGGTTCTGAAGACCACTAATATCAGGCAATGAAAAAGCTGCAGTCCAAACAGTTCAGATTTGTAAAAGGAGAGCTGAAGGTGTACAACCACTGCTATATACAAAACAAAAGCTGCAGTCATGTTTTCTGAATATGGACGATGATGAAACCTAACTTTTTCTTTCATGTGATGAGAAAAAGCACACCTTAAGATTCCCTATATTTGCCGATTTTATTTTCCATCATCACAGCTGACCTCTTTGGTTTCTTTGTTCTTCCGAACCTCTTCCAGCTTCTTGTCCTTGAATTGAAGGAAAAAACTATTAGTTATTTTCATTACAAAAGTCAGCTATAAAGCCACATCACATTTACAATACCTTCTCTTTGAACTTCTCGTTCATGGCTGCCAAGATTGCCGTTCGGTTTTCTTTATTGGCCTCCATTTTCTGGTTCAGTTTCTCCTCAGCCATCTTGCTGAAATTGTTGTTTTCTTCTAGAGCTTTCTGAAGCACCTCCTTTTCATGCTCACGCTTCTCTGCTAAGTGCCTCAGAACCTCTGCTTCATGAGACTAGGGAAGAGAAGAGAAACGCTCTTTATCTTACAAACTAGAAATATGACATTGTCAGAAGAAAAACATCAAATGTCGCAGCAGTAGATTAAACAGAGAGAGCCAGCCTCCCTATGAGCCTTAACAATAAGTGCACTTTCTGCATCTTAACACACCCATTTATTGTGGTGTAACATTAGGGTCATGTAAATGTAATATTGTATGCAGGGTAAAACGTCTGACAACGTGTGGATACGCACCTTGCGTCTCTCTTCAGCGGCTTCTAGTTTTCTCTGGATCTCCTCCAAAGATAGGTCCTTTTTCTTTGGAGAGGCGAGTGGGAACTCACCCTTGGCATCTGAAGCTGGACTCCCAAGGATGACCTCAAAAGCTTGACCTGATGCGCGCTTGTCCAGCTCCTTAATCTGAATATCTGAAGCCAAGCTGACTTGTTAACTGCAGAATTCAAGGATCATCTCTGCCTCATATTTATCCAGATCATATCACCTGCCAGTTTTAATTTATTTTACATGTGCATAAATACAAGAATCTTACCACTTATAGAGGCCATTGTTGCAGAAGATACAGGTCAAAGTATGCCTGAAAACAAAATCAGAAACATTAACTCTACATTACTGCACATTCATCCTAGTCATATTGTAAACATTTACTTTGATGCATCTAAACGGGGAAATATCATAGACTTCTATGGATTCTGTATGAAGCAGAAAATGAATTCAATTTATAAAACAATAAAATAAAAACCACTAGTGCTTAAATAGCTTTTTGTATTTTCAGATAATTAGTTATTAATAAACGGTCCTCGTTATTTGAGGACGCCCCCTGATGTCCCAAACTGCAGTTTGTCAGATTTTGCCACTCTCGAAATCTGGCAGCGTCTCCAAAACACAGCCGACAAATTAAGACATTTTGTTGTCGACAGGTTGTGAATTTGGCGCGCAAATATATTCAGCTTAACAACGACGCGGGAAAAACTGGCGCGTATTCTTCAAAAACACTCAAACTGCACCGCCCCCTCCCCTTAACACTAACTTTACCTGCACGTGTGGGGGGAAAAAACGCATAAAATGGCATACTTCGTATAACGTTACACGTTTTATCCGTTATGTGTTCCTACGTTTGAACAAGACAATAAGTGCACTTTGTGAATAAACAAACGCGCTTTTATTAGTAACGCAGAGAGAACAGGTCCAAACAAAGGCAGTCAAGCGGGTGCGCGTGCACAGCTCCGCCCTGCTCTTTCTCCAGCTCCATGATCACACAATAACACATACAAAACACCATGATCACACAATAACACATGCAAACCTTCCATTTGCGCGGAACTCTGACCTGCAACGATTCTTTAATGTAACGTTAGATGAATTACGTTAACTTACATGAACATTAACACGACATTCATGCAGAGCGATGCACATTTTTTGAAACCATGGTGTTTCAATCATATACCAACTTACCAAGCTTTAAACGGGCATTCTGACACATTTCAAACGCATGCGTTGATACTACACGTTAACGTTTTCAATATTGTTTTCAAAATACCAAGACAAACAAGGTTTTATATGCTATGCTTACTTACACAACCTAAATCGAGACATGACACCTTTCAATGCAGATAACGTTAACTTAAACCTTGAAATGCGAGTGTCGCACCTACCTTCAGACAAAAACACCAGGGTTTGCTCACAAAGCGTTCCTCTCGCGCCGTCTTCTCTCCTCGACACATGTCAAGTTCGCGCATAAAAGGGTCGAATTTATGTCGTCACATCATGTTCTCGATCCCAATTGGCTGCGCTCACTGACTCCCGGATAATGTAGTTCTGTTTCAAATAGGGGCGATTCTATGATTTTCCTTTTAGGGGGGCTAAGCCCCCAATGAAGGTATGATAAAAATAAATAAATTAATTAATTAAAAAAAAAAGGTAAACGTTTCATTTAAGGTCTAATGCTCACTTTCATTACCATGCAATTTCAGGGTTTTATAATCACTGTAGTCCTGAATTTGAGTTGTGTTAGTTAGGAGGGTTCGGGTTTTCCCAAAGAAAATTTCTAATTCTCTAAATGTTTTGAAGGCAACATTTTTTGGGGGATAAAACCATGTCAGTGGGCAGCTGATTATTTTTCTCTCCTCATCAGCATCACACTCTTTTTCTCTTTGTTTTTCTTTGCCCTGCCTCTTCCCCTCCTAATGTTGAGCTTTGACTGCATAGGCTTTTCATTTTTGTCTGACAGTGAAGAAAGTAAACATAGGATTTTGCCTATGAGTCATTTTCCCAGACGTGTTCATTTACTGAAAAATTAGGAGAGGAAACTAAGTTTCCAAAATTAATTCACATTCCTTCGGGGCGCAGACTACATATACCTCTTGCCAAGAGGAATATTTGAGATCATTTGTTCCATTGCGGTGACTGTTTTAAATTCAATTCTCAATTGAGGTGATTTTTATAGGTGTGTGAATTTGCACATACTGTATTAATATTACTTATTTATGTATTAATTATTTATTTCTTATGTGTTTGTTATGTGGTTTGTAACGTGGTTGTTGTGCCAGTGTCAAAGAAGAATTTCTGTCCCAAGAAGATTGGAGAAACTTATTTTTTCGCACCAAAAAAAAAAAACGACAGGGATACCACTGTCGTTTTTTTGTTTTTTTTTTGGGTCGAAATTTTGAGTTGCTCTGATTTTGATTCTGATTTCGTCCGTCCGTCCGTCCATCTCAAGAAGATTGGAGAAACTTGTTTGTTTCGCACCCAAAAAAAAAAACGACAGGGGTACCACTGTCGTTTTTTTTCGGGTCGAAATTTTGAGTTGCGCTGATTTTGATTCTGATTTCATCCGTCTGTCCGTCCGTCTGAAGAAGATTGGAGAAACTTATTTTTTCGCACAAAAAAAAAAAAACTACAGGGATACCACTGAGCCTCCATTTTTGCACTCAGGTCTAAGTCTCATGGCTCTCTTTCAGAATCCAGAGTTTTGGGAAGATTGGAGAAACTTAATTTTTCACCCGAAAAAAAAAACGTAAGGGGTACCACTGTCGTTTTTTTTTTCGGGCCGAATTTTAAAGTTTCGATATCTCAGCTCTGGAAGGGGCTAGAGCCTCCATTTTTGCACTCAGGTCTAAGTCTCATGGCCCTCTATCAGAATCCAGAGTTTTGGGAAGATTGGAGAAACTTAATTTTTCGCCCGAAAAAAAAAAAAACAACGTAAGGGGTACCACTGTCGTTGTTTTTTTTTCGGGAAGAATTTTTGACTTTCGATATCTCAGCTCTGGAAGGGGCTAGAGCCTCCATTTTTGCACTCAGGTCTAAGTCTCATGGCCCTCTATCAGAATCCAGAGTTTTGGGAAGATTGGAGAAACTTAATTTTTCGCCCGAAAAAAAAAAACGTAAGGGGTACCACTGTCGTTTTTTTTTCGGTCCGAATTTTTGAGTTTCGATATCTCAGCTCTGGAAGGGTCTAGAGCCTCCATTTTTGCACTCAGGTCTAAGTCTCATGGCCCTCTATCAGAATCCAGAGTTTTGGGAAGATTGGAGAAACTTAATTTTTCACCCGAAAAAAAAAAAAACGTAAGGGGTACCACTGTCGTTTTTTTTTTCGGTCCGAATTTTTGAGTTTCGATATCTCAGCTCTGGAAGGGGCTAGAGCCTCCATTTTTGCACTCAGGTCAAAGTCTCACAGCCCTCTATCAGAATCCAGAGTTTTGAGAAGATTGGAGAAACTTAATTTTTCGCCCAAAAATGAAAAAAAACGAAAGGGGTAACACTGTCGTTTTTTTTTTCGGGTCGAAATTTTGAAGTTTGATATCTCAGCTCTGGAAGGGTCTAGATCATCCATTTTTGCACTCAGGTCAAAGTCTCACAGCCCTCTATCATAATCCAGAGTTTTGAGAAGATTGGAGAAACTTCATTTTTCGCCCGAAAAAAAAAACGTAGGCCTAAGGGGTACCACTGTCGTTTTTTTTCCGGGCCGAATTTTTGAGTTTCGATATCTCAGCTCTGGAAGGGGCTAGAGCCTCCATTTTTGCACTCAGGTCTAAGTCTCATGGCCCTCTATCAGAATCCAGAGTTTTGGGAAGATTGGAGAAACTTAATTTTTCGCCCGAAAAAAAAAAACGTAAGGGGTACCACTGTCGTTTTTTTTTTCGGGCCGAATTTTTGATTTTCGATATCTCAGCTCTGGAAGGGGCTAGAGCCTCCATTTTTGCACTCAGGTCTAAGTCTCATGGCCCTCTATCAGAATCCAGAGTTTTGGGAAGATTGGAGAAACTTAATTTTTCGCCCGAAAAAAAAAAAAAACGTAAGGGGTACCACTGTCGTTTTTTTTTTCGGGCCGAATTTTTGAGTTTCGATATCTCAGCTCTGGAAGGGGCTAGAGCCTCCATTTTTGCACTCAGGTCAAAGTCTCACAGCCCTCTATCATAATCCAGAGTTTTGAGAAGATTGGAGAAACTTAATTTTTCGCCCAAAAAAAAAAAAAACGAAAGGGGTAACACTGTCGTTTTTTTTTTCGGGTCGAAATTTTGAAGTTTGATATCTCAGCTCTGGAAGGGTCTAGAGCCTCCATTTTTGCACTCAGGTCAAAGTCTCACAGCCCTCTATCAGAATCCAGAGTTTTGGGAAGATTGGAGAAACTTAATTTTTCGCCCGAAAAAAAAAAAACGTAAGGGGTAACACTGTCGTTTTTTTTTTTCGGTCCGAATTTTTGAGTTTCGATATCTCAGCTCTGGAAGGGGCTAGAGCCTCCATTTTTGCACTCAGGTCTAAGTCTCATGGCCCTCTATCAGAATCCAGAGTTTTGGGAAGATTGGAGAAACTTAATTTTTCGCCCGAAAAAAAAAACGTAAGGGGTACCACTGTCGTTTTTTTTTAAGTCCGAATTTTTTAGTTTCGATATCTCAGCTCTGGAAGGGGCTAGAGCCTCCATTTTTGCACTCAGGTCAAAAATCACAGCCCTCTATCAGAATCCAGAGTTTTGAGAAGATTGGAGAAACTTAATTTTTCGCCCGAAAAAAAAAAACGAAAGGGTAACACTGTCGTTTTTTTTTTTTCGGGTCGAAAAATTAAGTTTTGATATCTCAAAACTCTGGAGGGTCTAGAGGCTCCAGACTTTGACCTGAGTGCAAAAATGGACAGCTCTAGACCCTTCCAGAGCTGAGATATGGAGAAACTCAAAATTTCGACCCGAAAAAAAAAAACGACAGTGTTACCCCTTTCGTTTTTTTTTCGGGCGAAAAATTAAGTTTCTCCAATCTTCTCAAAACTCTGGATTATGATAGAGGGCTGTGAGACTTTGACCTGAGTGCAAAAATGGATCTATCTAGACCCTTCCAGAGCTGAGATATCAAACTTCAAAATTTCGACCCGAAAAAAAAACGACAGTGTTACCCCTTTCGTTTTTTTTCATTTTTGGGCGAAAAATTAAGTTTCTCCAATCTTCTCAAAACTCTGGATTATGATAGAGGGCTGTGAGACTTTGACCTGAGTGCAAAAATGGCCCTCTAGACCCTTCCAGAGCTGAGATATCAAACTCAAAATTTCGACCCGAAAAAAAAACGACAGTGTTACCCCTTTCGTTTTTTTTCATTTTTGGGCGAAAAATTAAGTTTCTCCAATCTTCTCAAAACTCTGGATTATGATAGAGGGCTGTGAGACTTTGACCTGAGTGCAAAAATGGAGGCTCTAGACCCTTCCAGAGCTGAGATATCAAACTTCAAAATTTCGACCCGAAAAAAAAAACGACAGTGTTACCCTTTCGTTTTTTTTTCATTTTTGGGCGAAAAATTAAGTTTCTCCAATCTTCTCAAAACTCTGGATTATGATAGAGGGCTGTGAGACTTTGACCTGAGTGCAAAAATGGAGGCTCTAGACCCTTCCAGAGCTGAGATATCGAAACTCAAAATTTCGACCCGAAAAAAAAACGACAGTGTTACCCTTTCGTTTTTTTTTTCATTTTGGGCGAAAAATTAAGTTTCTCCAATCTTCTCAAAACTCTGGATTATGATAGAGGGCTGTGAGACTTTGACCTGAGTGCAAAAATGGAGGCTCTAGACCCTTCCAGAGCTGAGATATCGAAACTCAAAATTTCGACCCGAAAAAAAAACGACAGTGTTACCCCTTTCGTTTTTTTTCATTTTTGGGCGAAAAATTAAGTTTCTCCAATCTTCTCAAAACTCTGGATTATGATAGAGGGCTGTGAGACTTTGACCTGAGTGCAAAAATGGAGGCTCTAGACCCTTCCAGAGCTGAGATATCAAACTTCAAAATTTCGACCCGAAAAAAAAACGACAGTGTTACCCCTTTTGTTTTTTTTCATTTTTGGGCGAAAAATTAAGTTTCTCCAATCTTCTCAAAACTCTGGATTATGATAGAGGGCTGTGAGACTTTGACCTGAGTGCAAAAATGGAGGCTCTAGACCCTTCCAGAGCTGAGATATCAAACTTCAAAATTTCGACCCGAAAAAAAAACGACAGTGTTACCCCTTTCGTTTTTTTTTCATTTTTGGGCGAAAAATTAAGTTTCTCCAATCTTCTCAAAACTCTGGATTATGATAGAGGGCTGTGAGACTTTGACCTGAGTGCAAAAATGGATGATCTAGACCCTTCCAGAGCTGAGATATCAAACTTCAAAATTTCGACCCGAAAAAAAAACGACAGTGTTACCCCTTTCGTTTTTTTTTCATTTTTGGGCGAAAAATTAAGTTTCTCCAATCTTCTCAAAACTCTGGATTATGATAGAGGGCTGTGA